ATGTTGACTTTGTTGATTCCAGGACCGAAAGCTCCAGTAAGGATATGGATGTTTTCCTTAGACCGTTGGTGGAAGAGCTTAAACATTTGTGGAACTCAGGCGTACGTATTAAAGATGCGGCGACAAACACATTCTTCACGATGAGAGCTATGTTGTTGTGGACAATAAACGATTGGCCAGCTCGTAGTAGTTTATCGGGTTGGAGTGGGCAAGGGTATAGAGCATGTGCTACTTGCAATGAAGACACTCCTTCGTACCGTGCAACAAACAAAGTCGTATACATCGGTCATCGTCGTTTCCTAGATGCTAATGATCCGTTAAGAAAGAGGTTGGACTTTAATGGGATGGAAGAGACAAGACCCGCTCCGAGACACTTTAATAATGATGACATACAAGAGCAACTAGGTCGTCTACTAACTCGTAAACCGGGTAAACATCCTGAGCATGGAGGCGGGGAGCCAAAGCGGCAAGATTATGAGTTGAACTGGTCGAAGCGAAGCATTTTCTTTGAACTAGAGTATTGGTCTTCTCTACAGTTGAAACACAACATAGATGTCATGCATGGTACTTAGTCGTGACACACAACGTACAACACAAAACTCTGGGGTTTTAGCGGTGGGTGAGAAAGGCGAGAAGTATTATGGTCAGTTAGAAGAGATTATAGAGTTGAGGTATACACATGATTATTCAACTGTACTATTTCGTTGCAAGTGGTTTGATACTCGAATAGGAGTTATTTCTAGTGATAGTTTCACCAGTATCGACACACGACGCGAAGCATACAAAGATGATCAACTCATATATGCGTCACAAGCCAAACAAGTGTTCTACATCAGAGAGCCAAACAATAACCATCGGTGTGTTGTCGAGCATGTTAATCATCGAAGTATTTGGGATCTACCATCGAACGATGACCTTGTTCAAAATGTTGACAATGTCTCACACGAAAATGTAGACGATGTCGATGTACTTCAAAATATCTCTTCATCCGATGCTCCACTTTTTATCGATTTCAGCATGTACTTTCAAAACATTCCTAGAGTCATTGTTGATGTAGAAAGTGCATCTGAAGTTCCTCCGCCAACTGGTAGAGTCAATGATGTTTCTGATTGCGATACTGATTACGATGACACCGATTCTGACTATGATACCGAAGAAGACACTGAAGGATATGAGAAAGATTCTGATTAGAATAGTTCTTATGTAATATGTATTTGTAATATGTGTTTATAATATGAACTGTATTTGGATTTCTAGTTTAAATGGAAATGTTTATTCCTATCTAAATGTTTATTCCTATGTAATGTGTATCTATAATAAAAATTGTATTTGTATATCTTATAATTTTTCAGGAAATGATGAGAGTGTGGCTGTTGTTTATGTTTACCATGGCTGCTGTCATGGGTCGTGGACATGGGGGAGACGGAGCTGAGGACCCACCTTTCCCAGGTGGTAGAGGTCCTGGCCAGCACGAGCAGGACGGTAAGTCTTATCATGAATTTTTATTTACTATTTTTGTTCAATTATCATAAATTAAATGTCGTTTCTAATAATTTTTAATTACATTTGTAGTTGAGGGACGTGCCCGAAGGAAAGCTCGAGGAAAAGCAAAAAATATAAAGCTTGAAAAAGCAATCTTGCAGAACCAGGGGAAACCAATAGCCATGCAATTTGATAGAGATATCACATTTAATCCCGTAGGAGAGGCGGGAGACATGTTTTCCCGAGAAGTTGGGAAAACAATGTGGCAGATGGTCCCTTTCGACAAATGGAGTTGGAAAAGAGTTTCCCCTGAAATAAAGGAAACTGTATTACAACATTTAGCGGTAATTATTTATTTAAATATATTTTATAGGTTTAACTATAATTGTTTCTTACTTGGTTAACTTTTTTTTTTAATTGTAGACAAAGTTTGATCTCAATCAAATGTACCAGGATGCACAAGCTACTTTATTGACAGAGAGTTTTCAAGCAGCCTTGTTAAGAGGTTTTCGAGAGCGTAAAGCCGACGCAAAAGAATATTTCAACATGGTCGGAGGGTATGAAGATATCCCGAGAGCATTGGCAAATCCTCCGGATGGTATGCTTGTTGATAACTGGGAGAAGACAGTTGAGTATTTTCAAACTGACGAACACAAAATTGCTTCAGAAAGGAACAAAAAAATCCGTGAAAAGCAAACAATGTGAATCGTGGGGGTTCGAGCTCGTATAGCAGTACTTGCTATAAGAAGGTACCGTACGATACATGTAATTATTTATTTAAAATATAATCTAATTTTTAAACTTAAACAGAACCTTAAGAGAGTGGAAACATTTCGCAAAGCTCACACCGATAAGAATGGTGTATTTGTTACTGCTGAATCGGAACAACAATATGTAAGTATTTAATTATAATTTTATCATATATTTAAATGTTTATTTATACTTAATTGTTACTCACTTTTGGGAGTTACAGAATCGGTTAGTTGAAGAGCTGCTAGAACAAACTCAAGGTGAAAGTGAGTTTACGCCAACTCAAGAAAGAGCTACGTTCGAGAAAGTATTAGGAGAGCGACGTGGCCACATTAGAGGCATTGGCCGCAAACCTTCTGGTCTCCCGACGATTCCACAGCCTTCGCAACCATCACAACCACCATCACAACCATCACAGGTAAAATAGCAATCTACTTTAGCATCGTAAAATGCATGTTGATTTGGTAGTTTTGGTTTTGTGGTGGTTATTTGCTAAAAAGTTTGGTAATTTAGTTTTTGTCCCAAGTGCAAAATATAGCAATGTACTTTGGTTTTCTATCTTACTTTAAAAATAACAATGTATTTTGATAGTTTATGTTATTAATTATGTAGTTGGAAAATATAGCAATGTACTTTGTTTATGTTTGACGATCTAACTTATAATTTTATATATATTGTTATTAATTATGTAGTTGGAAAATCTTCGTGCAATGCTCGCCGACCCGGCATGTAGGGATGAGCTTTATTCGTTTTTTCAATCCCAAAACAATCAAGGAAACGATGGGAACAGCGATGAGGGTATGTAAAGAATGGGTTTTATTTGCATATGTTGTCTCGTTTTGCTACTTAGTAGAATGTAAAAATTTTGTTGTTTTGCTACTCGGATAGTATGACTTTTGATATTTAATTGTATATTGGATGTTTGTTTGACACTATTATGTTTGATATTTAATAGGATGTTTGTTTTGTAATTAGCGTCGACACTATTGGTTTTGATATTTAATCGAATATTGTTATTACCGGCGACACTTTTACCTGCGATATTATCACCGGCAACACTTTTATCTGCGATATTATCACCGGCAACGAAAATCGTTATTTAAAAAAAAAAATTGAAAAACAAATTACCGGCGACACTTTTACCGGCGACAGTTATCATTACCGGCGACACCTTTTCCCGGTGACACTATTAGCGGCGACATATGTCATTACCGGCGACAATATTATTAGCGGCGACAATTGTCAGTAGCGGCGACATACTAATAGCGGCGACTATTATCTTTAGCGGCGACAAGTTGATCAATAGCGACGAGTCAGTACCGGCGACTCATTACCGGCGACGCGTCGCCGCTATTATCATTACCGGCGACATTTGGGACTTTTACCGGCGACTTTTGTCGCCGGTAATGGCCTTTTTCCTTGTGGTGATACTTTATAATAAAATAGGGTTGTTATAGTGTATTAGTGTGTATGTTTATATTTGTGTATGTTTTCCTACGTGGGCGTGCCGCGTGTACTTGTGTATGTGTTTTATGATGCACATTTAAGTTTGCTTGGTATTTAACATTGGTCCATTCATATCATTATATTGAATTATTGTTGATCATCTTTATACCATACGGAATGGCCAGACCATGTTATTTGTTAAATAAAATAATCCACGTAATTTTGTGTGGAATGAATATGGGATGTCATGCTTTGGTTGTATCCTTGTGGAGTTGTGGAAATTTAATATAATCATCATAACTTTGTACTATTGTAGTTATTGACACTTGATCTAATAACCCATGGTTTTGTCATTTGTGCTAGTGGGCTTGAATCGTGGGCTACCCCCAAGTTGATATATAATTAAACGGTTACGTGTAGTGGTTATAATGATGTAATGTGAATAGATTTTTTTTTTTCATCGCACACTTGGTTGATTTGATCATGGGCCCCTCTTATGTAGTCAAATGAGGTTGTAAGAGGGCATGAACATGATGGCCTTTTGTTGGGTGGTTCACTTTACATTGGTTTTATTGATTGGATATCCAAAGGATCGTCTAGTCAATTTTCTTGAAATTAGTTTGTTGTTATGTGTGTTGTTTGTTTGGGTTACCATAAGATCTTCGAAATACCATGATGTGTAAAAAATGGATATTGGTGGCGAAAAAGTAGTGGTTTTCTGAAGTTAGAAGCACTTACTAGGATATATATATATATATATATATATATATATATATATATATATATATATATATATATATATATATATATATATATATCCAAAGGATCGAATTTAGAGCTTCTACACCAATCTAATACGCCCCAACGGGCTTCACCCCTTGACCCTCATTTGTCGTTTGTGTACGGATCAATCACACTCGTCTTATACAATCACACCAAAATTATCAAAAAGCTGTAAATCACCAACAACTTCAACCGCATATATCTAACAATGTATCTGTAATTGTTGCATGTAGTCCAATGCTCCATATCATTATATTCCGGGAAAGTGTTTGACAAGTCCATCAAGTTAGCATTGTAGTGTGCTTACATGTTTATTAACCTTCAGGCTCATCTAGAGAGAGAGATATTTAGCACATGTTTATTAATTAGTTGATAGCTCCATAATAAATAGACACATGTTTGAATGGTAATTTTGATGAATTCATTAGTTCCATTTTTTGTTATAAAAGCCTAAAACAGAAACCAGCAACAATCCACAAACTATATCCATCAAATCCAAAAAAAAAAAATAATAATAAAGCCAATGAGATGAATTCCATTCATTTTTGTTGTAAATCCTCCACATTTACCTTGACAACATCATCTCTAACTCCAATATCAGTTGCGTATCTGGTGATGCAATACATGCCGGCTGTGACAGTCACAACCACCGGAGTTGGTATCACAAATTTCAAGGGAGACGATAGAATGGCCGCCACCGGAACACCCAATACAGATGAAATCTGTCCGCTTCTTCCAGACCCAGACCCACCCTCCTTTTCAACTATCAAAAGCCCTGTCTTGCAGTATAAAGCAAAGTCCTCACAGTTGTTCCTAAACACATCGTAGTTCCCAAATCCATTATGAAGCAGATACATGGCTCTGTGGATGACTGTATCCGCTTCATCATCTGACGTGGCAGTCGTGCAACTGCCACCTCGTACTTTGGCAAAGAATTCAGCTTTGCTTACACCGTATTCAAACCGGTAGAGGTCCCCATTTTGGAGGAAGCAGTTCAGGCAGGAAATCACAACCCCACTTCCACGTCGTCTGAATCCACAGTCTGCTTTACATGTTGTTGAGGTTGTTTTAGACATTATAATGTCATCAGAAGCAGAAGACCTTTTCTCAGGATCACTCGTAAAATGGACCACTTTCTTACCTCCAACATAGATGCCTGCATTATATCAGTACAAGATTATTCAGGATTCTTTTCTTTTCAAAACAAGAGCCAAAGTTTGTGCTTTTGGGATCGAACAATCTTTACCTACCATGTTGATATGAAACCCTAAAAAACAAATATCATACATTGTAGAGTGTTGAGTGTAGAGTGTAGACATGGAATTTGAGGAAAAAAACACAAATTCAGGTAATGGAAGTTGAAATTAGAATTACTTGGAAGGAAAACAAGTTTATGGATGTATGTATGTATATTCAAAATGTTGAACATATTGAAAAAACCCTCATTCGAATCGATGAGAAAAATGGAGAAATACTGAGAAGCAGAGAGAAAGATGAAGAACGAAATACCATGGTGAGAGTAAGCAAAAACGACTCTGTAAGTGTAGATGTGGTCGCCTGCTTTGATCTCATTCCTTTCGATTTTGTTTGAAAGAAACCCCATAATCTCTTTCTATATCTTCTTCTTCTTCTTCTTGTTTTAAGCGTAAATTCCTGCAACTCACATTCCGAAACTTGTTCAAAAAATAAGACAAAATTGCAACTGGGCAAAAACACACTTACTTGGAGGAATGTGATTGGCTCACAAAAACAAGATGAATGTGATTATGAATGATGAAGGCAAGCGTAGGCATAGGCATAGAAGATGGGTTTTATATGCGTTTATCGACTGCGTAGGGTTTCCGATGGCAATTCCTCACATTTTCAAATTCATGCCCGGTTCAGTTCTTGTTTGGGTATCCATGAAACACTATAATCGCTTATTTTAAATACATTTTATTTCCTCAGATAATAATAAAATTACATATTTTATTTACTATAACTCTATTTTTTTTTTTTTTTTTTGGATTTAATAGCCTTTGAATACGTTTTTGTGTCAATTTTTTATATACGAACACTTTGGTTTGTTAAGTAACTTATGGTGCAATGGTGGAACCAAATTCGACGGATGTGCAACCACATTCTATTATTTAGAAATTTACTAGGATTTTTTTTTTACTTATTTTCTTTTAATTGTTTATCATTTGCAGTATATATTTTCTAAGGATCGTTAATTCGTTATATTACGTAATCCTTTTATGTTAAGATTGTGTTTACTTTTCCTATTGCAAAAAAAATTGATCGCTTAGGCGAGAAGTTATACCTTTCTTTCATATTTCATTTTTTTTTTTTTTTGCACATTATTTTTCACAATAGATGATCATCTTTTAATTCCCTTTATTTTATTTTTAGTTTTTTTTAAATATATTTTATATCAATATTATAACTTTTTAATTTTTATAGAAAATTAAAAACCATAAATTTCAATATATTTTTTATAATTTTTTAGTATATATATAATTTAGTTGAATATTATAAAAACTGAAGGAAAAAAAAAAAAAAAAAAAAAAAAAAAAAAAAAAGAACCCGTCTATAAGACGTTACCTAATCAAGACAGGAGAGAGAACAATTACCTTGGAAACTACCACACTCAAAACAGAAAAGTTACCTCACTCAGGAAACTACCACACCCAAGGTGTGGTGTTCATGTCTGTAGTTCAACATTAATATATAGTATATTGTGTTGCTTTAATATTTCTAAAACTGATGAAGAAAGTAATTACCTTCGAATTTCTATAAACTATTTCTTTATTGAAAAAGTTGGAGCTAAAAAATACTTTTTTTTCTAGAAAGATAAATGGTTAGAGGTGTATACGATAAGACCATCTACAACCCATAACATTAACTTTTATACAAATACATATATTTATGACAAAATTACAAAATGGTTCCGGTAGTTTATCAAATATCACAAATTTAGTTCCTGTTAATTTTTTCTGATGCAAATGATCCTTGTGGTTTGCAAAAGTTGCACGAATGACCCTTTTAGTAACACCATAAATATTCGACTGTTACGCCAGATATGCTAGGCAGCATCTGGTCGAGAGGACCGAAGGGGAGGCCAACACTCAGATATGCTAGGCAGTATCCGGTCGAGAGGACCGAAGGGGAGGCCAGCACCCAAATATGCTAGGCAGCATCCGGTCGAGAGGACCGAAGGGGTAGATCAGGCACCCAGATATGCCTGACAATTTATGTATGTTATGTGATTATATGGTATGTGGTACAGTGGGGGAACTCACTAAGCTTCGTGCTTACGGTTTTCAGTTTTGGTTTCAGGTACCTCTTCAGCTAAGGGAAAGGAGCCGACACGGTAGCAGCATACCACACACACACTCTGTTTCTGCAGTTATGAGTTTATTCTGGGATTGATACTCTTATATTTTGGTTGTTTACATGTTGTGGATTTCAAATTTGGGCTTTAGATGTGAAATGGTTTAATTAAACAATGTTTTAATTATTAGTGTTTTCTAAGTAAAGTTTTAAAAACGAAATTTCTGGACGTGAAAATTGGGTTGTTACTGTTTCATCAAGGCACTAATGCAATAAAAGGACGATGTATGAATGGCATTGACTATTGGAATAGAATTGTGAAAGCAACTTTTTTGGAATGGAATTGATTGTTTTATAATGAAATGGAATCGATTGTTTTATAATGGAATGCAACTGATTGTTTTATAATGGAATGAAATTATCTGTTTTATAATGGAATGGAATTGAGTGGTTTGTAATGGTATTAAGTTAGAATGGAATTAACTGTTGTAATTTTTTCTATTGGAATGGTGACTATTTTATAATGGAATGGAATTGAGTGGTTTGTAATGGTATTAAGTTAGAATGGAATTAAATGATGGACTAGTCTTCTATTGGAATGGAATTGAATTTAATTGAATGATTGAATAGAATTGAATGGTATTGAATTAGAATGGAGTTGAATTCAATGATTGAATAGAATTGAATTAAATGGAATGGAAATAAAACAAAAACATAGCAACATATTAATATCACCAATTGTTCATACTATAATTAAAAATAAAGATATATTAAAAGTCATACCATACATAGACAACAAATCCCATAATTGTTCATAACCACAGACACAAAACATGACAAAATATCACAACCACAAAAAATCATAACACCGTATCAAAACATAGTCACAACTTAAGCAATACTCTTCCTTTTCTTCCCAGCCTTCCATTTCTTGCTTGAAATTCCATCACCTGCACTTTTAGTTCCACTTTGCCTACCACCACCTGCACTTTGAGCTTTCTTCCCAACATTCCCTTTCTTGATTGAACTACCATCACCTACACTTTGATCTTTCTTCCCATCCTTCCTTTTCTTGCTTGAACTACCCAACCTTCCCTTTCTTGCTTGAACTATCTGTTGGAATAGTGTCTAAGGCTGCAACTATATTAGGCAAGTATTTGACCCGGTTGTGCATGGTCCTTTTGGGTTGCCTTCACCATAGCAACTTGATGGATGATTTGTTAAGAGAGAGTAAATATTATAAGGAATAATATATGGTTATTTGATTAATATAAGTCATAGATTAATTGGAATTAATTTGGTGACTTAAAGAGATTAATTAAATAAGAGGGTATAAACTATCAATTGTTTGATAGTTACACTTTAGACTATAAATCCTTATCCAAGATAGGATGGAGGATTTCTAGGGCTTGGATAAGCCAAAATCGTCCATAGGGTTATCAAGGAAAGGATATGGATTAACTTAAAGTCTAAGTTATCCAATTAGGGTTAAAGCTGTAATCCTTAAGGAGTCTACAAGTATAAATAGACCCTAGGGGTGAGGGAATTCAACACACCATCAAAAGTAGAGATACTCTGGCCGAATTCCTCCCCTCTCCTCTCTCCTAAATCATCTTTCTTGCTATTGGTGTTTGTAAGCCATTAGAGGAGTGACATTTGTGACTCTAGAAGCTCCAAGACAACAAGATCAACAAGGAATTCAAAGGTATGGTTCTAGATCTATTTCAATGTTGTTATTTAACCTAATTAGCCATTAGAAGTCTTGGATTCAAAGCATGTTTAATTAGAAAGCCTAGATCCGAGCATTAGGGTTTTGCATGCGCACATAGGAAAGTTCTTATGGCTAAAACCCATCAGTGGTATCAGAGCCTAGCTTGGTTTTCTTTAAATTGTTGCTTGATTAACTGAAACAAACCTGCAAAATTCGAATTTTTGGTTTCTGAGTCATGGACTCGGCGAGTTCCAAAGTGGACTCGGCGAGTAGGCCTGACTCGGCGAGTCCGGGCGTCAGGATTAGGAAAAACCGGGATTTTTTCATGTTTATGTTATGGAAACTTACCTTAATCATATTAGATCAACCCTAATCCGATTTTTTGATATATATATATATGACTATAATCTTGATCTAATTAAAGATATTTATCATCTAATAAAATATTTAATCTCCTTATATGATAATTGATTAATTATTTTGATAATTATCTTAAAAGAAATCTTGGATAAATCAAATAAAGATAATTAGGATATTAATTGTTAATTGGAATTATTTGTTATTTGATCCTCCATGTTTTAAATGTTTAAAACTTGCCCTCAAGTTTTGAAATTTATATTTGTGATTAAAAGTTTTAATTTAGACAACTTAAATTTCAAACCCTACGTTTTAAAAGGTTTAAAACACAACCTTATACTAATATGATATTACTAGAATAATATATATATATATATATATATATATATATATATATATATATATATGTATAACTAAATGCTAGTCTTACCGTTAGTAGGCCTCATTCACGAAGCCGATCTATAAGGTGGGTATAAGGTTGCGGCCTATAAATGGCGCTTAATGGGTGTACACTCACACCCACCGCTTGCTTGATTGGTGGAGGGTCGTTAGCCGAACGGGTAGGATAGGGCAACCTCATCCTTCATTAAAAGTATAATAAGTAATACAAAGTAACTACACGTTTTAAAAATTTCCCAATCTTAGTTACTTTAGGAAAAGTGAATTGATGCAATCCCATGAAATTACACTTTGCACCCTTGCTAAGAAGTTAGTGGAGCGTGTGTGGTTTACCGGCACACTAATTGGTTCTAAGCAAAGGTGGCAAAGGGTGATTCATTGTTTATCATAGTTCGATGGAGCGTGTGTGGTTTACCGGCACATCGAATAGGTGATCGTTACAATGAAGGCACCATGTGAATTTGCATGGTAATTCACACCCGCTTTGTGATCCTCGGCATCCCAGTCACAAACAAGAGGGGCATATCGAGATTTAAACATGCCATTGAATAGTTTCAATGAATCTCATCCGAACCTAGGAATTCTCAATACACTTAGGACTAATAGTCTAGGTTTTGTGATGGAGAATTAGTGAATCGTCATTCACTTACCTTCAATTTATTTTCATGTTAGATTACGGCATCCCTTTTCTAATATGTAAATGTTATTGTTGGATCCTAACCCTAATTTTTCTTATTGGGTGATAATTAGGGATTCTTATTCTAATCTATCTTTGTCCTTTCTATAGATGTCAAACGCAAAAACGCTGCTGCGAGTTCTTTCACATTGATGAGCCTTTGCCAAAAGGTCACCTTCGATGGAACGAACTTTAGCGAATGGATAAGATACATTCGCACCATTGCTCGCTATGAGGATAAGGAGTATGTCCTCGATGAAAAGCTTGAGAGATCAACCCCGAAATCGCTACTCCGGCCGAAATCACCGCTTTTGAGACTCATGAGCGAGATGCAACGAAGGTACATTGCATCATGATTGCCACCATGAACTCCGAATTCCAAAAGTCCTACGAGGACATGTATCCATACGAGATGCATCAAGACTTATTGGAGAGATAC